GACATTTGTAACATATCCAATAAATCTACTTAGGCAGTTATCTGCTATACATCCTCCTTTATTCACGGGTTGTCAACTAAAACCTCATTTTCTTGCATAGTTTTCGTGCATCAGGTTTAATCATGAATCTGGATTAATCAGTACTACAACCATTTCTCCATTAATTCTAGGTATGCTCATAGACACGTCTCCTATTTTTAACATATTTTCTTCAAAAACTCTATATACTACACTAATCTCAGTGTTCATAAACAAAACATCGCTCTCTCGCCTTTTTCTGGTTAGTGCCTTAAGTACTTTATCCCATGCTTTAGAGGACCACTTAAACAGTTGCCCCAATATTATAGTTATTTTTCTTTCAGCAATCACCTTCAAAATATCAACTTCTTCAGTCAATTCTAACATGAATATATATATAGTAGACCCTATTACTTTTACTAGGCCCATTTACCTGTTTGACCTTCTCTTTTTTTTTAGTTTCATTTGCTAATCCAATGCTTTTCCCTTTTTTTAAGCCTTACGTTGCTACTTGTTTATCACTTAACTGCCGTTTTTTTCTGAGATTTCTGATGTCAAATAACGCTTCGTCATCACTCACATATACTTTAAAGTATTTATCCTTTTTTGGTGTAGCTTTTTCTGTTATTTCAAAAAATCTGACATTAGCTCCTCTTATTTCAGGATCCCTTGGTTGACTATTCTGATTCGAGTCTAGTCAGTCTATAGCTTGGGTTGTCCTTAGTCAATGGGGCAATCACGAGATATATGCCCTTCCTAGTCACATATAAAACATCTGCGAGGCCTGAAACTACAATTTTAACTCACTTCTCCTCTATTTTGCTTTGGATTTGAAGGTCCATGTTGTAGTATTTATATTTTCTCTCCATAATATTTTGCACAGTTCTCGTCAACTCCACTATATTTGTCTCAATTCTATCAATTCTATCTACATGCGGTTCATTGTATTGTTCCTCAACCCGACAAATTTTAATACTGCCAAAGGCCTTAAAGAGGTCTTCCTTTTCTGACTTGGTATGTATTTCTACCTTTTCTATAACATCATAAGCTGGGCTTTTGTTAATATATTCCCTATTTCTATCATACTTCTCCATGTTAATGGCCAATTCCTTTGCTTCTTATATGTTTCAGGGCAATGTCCGATAATCTTTTCTCGATATAGTTTCCAGAGCCCTTGAATATACCATTCTCTTTTTTTTAAATCTCTCACTACACTTTTCACACCTTCCACACAAGCATCAAAGCAGTTAGTATATATTTGGACCGTTTCGTCCTTGTCTTGCACCATGTTTCTTAGCTTTTCCAATTTCTCATTCATATCAGACAAAGTCTTCCACTGCTTCATTATTGCTGTCTTTAAGTCCTGCCATGCTTAATTAGCAGTTACTAACTAATTCATAGATGGCTTCAGTTTGTCTATAATATGGAGCGTTATTACCAATCTCTTTTTTGTATTGTCCCAATCCTTTGTAGCTGTGTATGCCTCGAAGTAGATGAGGAAGTTCTCAACACTATCAAGACCATTATATATTGGCTTTGTCGAATCATTCTCTCCCATTTTGAACTGATGTATCATTCCAGTTCTCCACCACTATATGTACACCGTAGACTGCCTTCCTTTTTACCTCTTTATTTATTATATATATATATATATTTTTTTTTTTTTTGTTTGTTTTTTTCTAATATCGTACTATAATCATTGCAAGTAATGTTGTAACAAATCCACAATATTCTACAACTAGGTATGTGCCCATTTCGCTTTTAGGACCATTAGACATATATGTGTTAAGTGGCTCATACAATAGCCACTTATCTTGCCCAGGTTTTGCTATTGTAGCTCTTACTGACTACATGAATTTTTACTGGCGCAATAAGACAACTTACTACTTATTTAAGCCAAAATAGATTCATGGGTTTCTCAATATATATTTTTTTTATGTAAAGTAAAAGGTATTCTTTATTTATTTTCTCTCTATACCTTAAATACATTGGAATAGACTACATATTAATTTACATTATAGTGTCACCCACATGCACTCCTTTGATTTTACTTCATAATTAATGTATTATACTAATCATACAACTATTTTACTATTAGTATTATCTCATATTTGATCATATGTTACTTTTGACTACCCTTAATTACACATTGTTCATGTACATTGATCATAACACTTAATTCTAACTAATCCTGATTTATTACTGACCCATGATTTAATTGATCATATACGTGATCATGTGATCACGTGATCACGATTCCTTACGCGTAATTTTCCAAATGTGAAAAACACATATTTATTTATATTCACCTAAAGTTTTGCATATTCGTTTATATTATTTTATTGTTTATATATTTTTGTATTGTCCCAATGCTTCTTTCTTTTTAGAATCAATATTCCTCTAATATGACCCACGTACTACATATTTCGAATATTAATCTCTGTCGATCTGCTTTTGACCATGACATATGTCCAGAATAAAAATTTTGAAGAAAAGGTTTAATAAAATTTAAAATATTAATAATTATAGATTAATAGCTGTAGTATTTAGTTTTAGTTAATTTTAGTTTTAAAGTAGTTAGTCACACTTTTTTATCGTAATCTACTTCCAAACCAATGGATACTATCTAATCTAAGGTATAGCTTACTATATACAGATAGTTCACTATTGGCTAATCTGATTTTGCACCCATCTTAGGATTTACTAACCCCAATGAGGCTAATCTATCCACAAGGTAAATCTAATAGAGTGGTCCATATCCCACACGTGTATTCACTTGCATGTTTGGTAATTTTTTCCAATTAGTATATATTGTCTGCTATTATTGTGTTCGTATCTCATGACATCTTTTGAAGTACTGCAGTAACACAATCCAAATCTCAAGCACAACCTTTCTAATTAGTTTTCCATTACATACTCTTACTCTTGTATGGTTCACAACAACCCCGATATCCACACTTCAACCATCTTCTTACTCAGATTCTTTATCGGTTCCTATTTCTAGCCAGCAATTCAGATAGGTTGGTCTGCCCAAGCTTTAGGTACCTGAAGGATACCCTTCTCTTGGTCCAAACTTTCAGAGCATATAGCCTTTTTCTCTGGTGTGTCTAAACTGGCAGTTCAGCTAGTGTGTCCCCTACTAAAGAACCTGGTCACTCAGTTCTCCAATCTTGGCCTCAGTTCAAATTCAGTCTTCATAAAGTACTATCAAAAATCACTGCTACTTTCAAAACTCAGAACTTCCCAAATGGGCTTCCTGTATGGTGATGAACAGTCTCCAAGATTTATATAATCATAAACTTATTGAGTGTTTGCACTATCCTAGACCAGTTTGCATTCCTTTGTAGTTTCTAGAGTTTTCTTCTAATTGTACAAATTCTAGCAGATCTCCCAAGATTACTTCCTGGTGCAACTCAAGTTACAAATCCTCAATTCAAGATCTAAGATCTAATTATCTTATACAGGTTACTATACCACAGGCCTATTTTTCAAAATCGTCAACCATGAAATTTGAACTCTAAACCTGCCACTTGGAGAGAGTGACAACTAAACCACTTCACTAAGTTGCCACACCTCTAGTAAAGTTATTAGTAAAACTCTAATTAAACAGCTATATTTAGTTTTATATAATAATTTATATTATGTATATTGTTTATTTGTTTATATTTTTTTAACTAATCAAATCAAATATTCACTATGCTTATATTTGTACTATAAAATTAAAGCAAGTTTTTTATATAAATTTTATAATATAGTAGAGTGGAATCTGGTATTAGCTTAAAACAAAGTTTTTTTTTACTAAGTTAATCTTTTTTAAGCTTAACAGAATTGTAAAGCTCATTTTTGTAGTTTTAATAATAGTAAAATCATCTAAATTGGCCTGGTAGTTTTTGAAATATTATAATTTTTCTTTCTTTATATATAAAACTTCTTTAAAAAAGTTTTATATGTTAAAAGAAAGAAAAGTTATAATATCTCAAGAACCACAAGGCCAATTTTGATGATCTTGCCACTATTAAAATCACAAAAGTAAGCTTTACAACTTTTTTTAAAACTTGAAAAAAGATTAACTTAGTAAAAAGAAAACTTTGCTTTGAACTAATATCAAATTTCATTTTATAATATTATAGATATCTAAATTTATACAATAATTTATATTATGCATATTTGTTTATTTGTTTACATTTTTTGTTTACATTTTTAACCAATTAAAACAAATACCTGCTATGCTTTAAACATCTAATACTTTATGCATAATTTATGCTATAATTATTTGATAAGTTTTTTTTTTTTTAATAAGTTAAATAAATTAAATAATTAGTAATTAGAAATCTGTAAATATAAATATGTTTTATTAAAGCTATTTTAAAGCCTTAAATCATAATACTTTCAGAAAGGAAGTGTGAAGAAATTATATCTGCGCAAAAGTTAGGCAAGTCATATATAGTAGATTCTTGTAATAGTTACATGCCAAAATCAGATGATTTATGTACTTATTGTGACTAATATGAGTAAAAATTTAATATATAATAAATTTTAAGAACAAACAAGATTATCTAATACAACTTGTCTTAAATAATTGTTGTATAACTAAAAGCTGCATTAGAACAGCAAGAAGGCAAGGTAACAATTATTAATTTAATTTTTTTTATTTTTTTTTATTTTATTTAATTTTTTTTAAAAATTTTGTATATTTTTAGTTAATTTCTCAACAAACTATTAGTTATACTCTTTGCAAAGCTGACCTGTACGTGTGTGTTGCTCATGCAAAGCCTTTCTTTAATGATAAAACTAAGAAAGAGCATCAAGAGTAGGCAGAAGCGTATCTTAATTAAATGGCTAAAAATTGAAAAGATGTTCTCTAGTTAGATGAAAAATATTTTTGTTTGGTCTCTTCTAATCCACATCAGTATATATGGAGAAGGCCAGATAAAGAATTTAATAATAATTGTCTTGTTCTGGAAATCAAATTTAAAGAGATTATGATGTGGGGATATTTTTCTTGGTGAAATCTTGGCTCTTTTATCTGTCTTCACGATAGTATTACAAGCATATCCTATCATAGAACACTTATTCATTACACTATTCCTAAGCTTCAGAACCAATATCTCAATGATAATAGGATATTTCAACATGACAGAGCCTCAATTCACAGAGGCAAAATAGTTAATAGGTATCTTAATAATAAAAGTATTAAAACTTTTAAATGGCCTCCGTATAGCCCAGACCTTAATCCTATTGAAAGTTTTTAGTCTGAGGTTGAAGCAAAGCTTCAAAAACATTGCTGAAGATTTGGAAACTTTAATAAGCTTGAGAGGATGGTTAAAGAAGAATGAGAGGCATTATCTTCAAGTTATTATAGATGTTTTGTTGAAAGTGAGATAGACTATGTTAAAGCAGTATATAATAATGATAGTGGTCATTCGCATTATTAAGGGTAGGGTTTTTGTTTACATGTTTTTTTCATGCAATGTATAAATAAATATGTATGTATAACCGAATACATAAATACAATTAGTTAATTTTACAGATCTTTAATTTTTAATTAGTTTATTTTTATGCAATACGCAAACTAATACCCTACCCTTAAGTTCTATATATAAGAATGTAACAATTAAATAAATAAATAAATAAAAAGTAAAAAAAATAAATAAATAAAAAGTAAAAAAAAATAAAAAATAAAAGTAAAAAATAAAATAAATAAATAATAAAGGTCAGTAATATTGTTCTTATATAAATATAATCATTAATAGATCTATAGTTAATTATTCGAGATCCCATAAATAGGTTAGTTATTGGCTTTATACTTTTAGAGCTTTCATATAATGCAACTATTTTTTTATTACTTTTGAGTGAAGGTGAATTAGTGGTGGCAAAAAGAATTCTTGGTCCCATGATTTCTGAGCAAAATATATCAAATAAAAACTCAGAATATTATATATAAAATTAAAAAATTGCTCAGAAGTCATGAAACTAAGAATTATTTTTTGCCAATATGTTATTTTTAACTATGATTTGTATCGATCCTTTTTATCAACTTGTTTTAATTTTACTTGTTTTAGAGTATGATTATTTATCTGTTGAATAATCGAAAAAACTTAAAATTGTATAATATTTAATTATAAATAATCTCTATTTTATTTATTACACCACGTATTATTATTAAATTAGGTGTTTTATTAAAATTTTTATTTAACACTAAAATCTGATGCAGTGATTATAGATCAGTACTTATTCCCCAAGTTCCTGGTCGAATACTTATTAAATGAAATAAATCACTAATCAGATAGCTTAAAAATTAATGTAAAAAATAATCAATTTACAGTATGTTGCGAAAATAACCAGAAAATTTTTATATAATTTAGATTTGCATGATCTAAATTTTTTGTTTTAGAT